AAAAGCATCACATTAGCGAATAAGAAACTGACTTTCAGCGAGGCACTGTAAATAGTTCAGTTCCGCCAATAGATACATTGATTCCATGATTGATGAAAGTAATTTCACAGATAGGGACATTCGAGGGAACCACACAGTCACCCAAAGAATCATCTCCGCAACGATATGTCTCTGAATGATATAATCAGCGGACTAGTCTGCTATATATAAAGTTCCTATTCAATCAACCAAATACCCCCTCCCAGTTAATACAGTGGGTATGTCATCGCCTGGTGGTGGTAGGTCCTCCCTTGCAGCATAGTCCAATGGATCCGAGCCAACGTATCCTCTCTGTGTTGGAGCACCTACAGAATCTCAACTACAGGCAAGATGACGCTAAACGCTAAGAAATCACAAGACTAGACGGAGTGAATAACTCACTACTGACTGATAAGTTCAGACTAATCACATCGATCTTACCACTATCCCCGAAGAGATCAGCCTGCTGCTGCTTCAAGCCATAGCTAAGTGGGCCTTTGTCCTCCGAGTGGTGCCCAAAGAGACCTCCACTTCTTGGAGGGGTATCATTGGATGGTGGCCGAAACATGATATTGGGAACCCTACTGAATGACGCCAACTCGTGAAAGACAAGGAACCCTGCTTGAGAACAGTTGCAAGGACCCCGTATGAGCCTTCTCCGTATCGGTGAAATAAGAAGTTACAGCACGTCTACAACACAAACAGAAAGTATGCGAACAACATACGGGTGAAAGCTCAAACCAACCGGAAAGCCTTCACCCCAAGTCCAAAATGAAACCGGCAGACCCATAGTGGCCAACTACTATCCCTTCAAAGTCGTAGCGGTGAATCACTACTATGCAGCTAATATTGAGGAACTACCAACATTGTGATGGTGACCCAGGAGCCCACTATACGGCTGTATGAGCGACTTAACCAAAAACAATATAGTAAACATATAAAAAAGACCTGACTACCGACGCCCGTGGAGTAGCAGTGAATGACAATAGTAATATTAATAGTAATAATGCATATCCCTTCTTCAGTCATGCAAAGTAGGTCAACATAATCTCTCAAATAAATACAGGCTCCCACGTGTCCAGCCACTCGCCGTCCATCAGACCCTTTCGACACGGGGGACAAAAGTCGTCGGAAATTTGCTTTACTTTTCCCAAGGAATTACTCAGGCCGGCATCATCACATTTCGTGGAAAGCTTCCCCCAAACCTTCTCATCCTCTGTCGATCTCTCAGCTCTTCCGGCTCGAGAGAAATTATCATCACCAACACCCGTTATCCACACCCCTCCATCAGGTCTGGCGAATACTCTGTGCCAAGCCGCTGGCGCCGCTGACCGCCTGTGGGGAATCGGGAACTTTCCTCTGCAGGTTTCACATTGAAGGTCTATGACCCATAGAGCCCACGACGAGGTATCTTTCATATAAGCCAACACGTATGCAAGTGCCCTTATATGGTCGACATCCACTGAAGCTGCTGCACAGTCACCCAGCTCTGTGACCTTCTTCCACACTCCAGGACCTTCCCATAGCACCACAGACCTCCTGCCAGGGGTCAAGTCTAAGACCATAATCAGGCGGTCCCTGCCCGCCGAGCAAGGCCTATACGCTGCGAAACAATGAGGTACCGTCTTAGTACGGCAGACAACCTCATTATGGCCGCTCATATCAAGACGGGCGATCCTGAAGGGCCCCCAAAGGCCATAGACACAGTCCGTGCCAGCTGTTAAACAGAAGAACCTTGACCGACCGCCTGACAGTAGTAGCTCTTCCTGGTCCCATTCAGAGGAGTATCGATACACCCCTGAGCTCTTGGCAAATACAACACTATGATCAGGGGCTATACACGCCACATCCAATGGACTCAGTCTGAGCCTCCAGCCCAAGCAAGTCTGCATCTTCCCACATGGAGTCAATAGATTAACCCTACAAATCCATTCGGGCAAGGGGCTATGTCCATCGACAGTGGCGATAGCCTTCAATAGCAGCAACCCGCTCCCATCTGGTACCCTCAAACACCTCCTTATATTCCTTGCAGGATCTCTACGAGTTCGGTGAAAGCCTGCCAGAAGTGGCCTGGCGTAAGTCCAGACGACCGTCATAAGTTCATCAGGAACTTCATCGTCTTCATCATCGCCCCTATCTAGTTTCGCCAAAGCCAACAGAGTGCGATCAGTCTCGGTAGGAATAGGCCATACATTTACATGCATTAAATTTATCCACTGAAAACTCCAATGTATACACTATCACAGCAAACATACCATTCTCCCAGTACTTTTCAAATGGACATACTCCACTACGAATATCCAAGGTTGACTCCACTTGCCGTTTCACTAGAACTACACTTAAGCGACAATCGTTCCTATCAGCACTGTTATTGCGCAAATCACGATCCCGTAGCATTGAGCGATAGTACTCAATGTTAGTACCGCTCAATGCTACGAATCAGTAACGCAACGCAGCAACATCTGACCTTAGGATTAGTGATTTACAAATGCTCCCAATCTTCTAGCAAAGTCATACCATACAAGTAAGGTTTTCACTGTCGAATTGCAGCGAGACTACTACAGAGGATTTATAAGCCGCACTAGCAAGAACAAGTATCCAAAAACTGTGAAAATGCGAGTCAGCGCAAGATTGGCGAGAATCACCGTAATCGAATAGTCTATTACAGGGCCGCGGGGCCCAATGTCCCCACAATCGGGGTTGAATGTCCACACACGCGGAAAAATGTTATTTATAGAGTAAAATAGCGGGCCTTCGGCCCGCTTTTTACTGTGGGCCCTTTACGACCCTATCA